TGGATATCTGTGGATTAAATTATACAATCTATAAGTAACCAGTTAGTGTAGCCAGGTATACAGTAGACGGTTAATAAATTTCAGTTTTATTTCTTATTTCTATCATAATACCCCCACCCCCAATCTTTGTTAAAACCTAAAACAGGCAGTTGGAAAAGGAGAAAACCAGTGCTGATTCGATTGCTCTTTTAGCACTGAGGTTTTCACTGATACTTCTAAAGCCTGTAGCCAGACCCAGAGGGACTAGAGAGGTTATCATTCCTGGAGAGCAGGCACTGAACATCCTGAGGCTTGGAATGAGGTCTCCATTTCTTTTCATCAAATCGGTTTTCAAAAACAAGGTCAACATGAGTTTTCATTTATAGACATGATACCTTAAAGGCATCTCCGAATGAGCAGGTCAGTCTTCTCATAGAGCCCAGAGGAGAGCTGGACTCTCAGCCCTAGATGTTCAAAAAGCAAGGCATGATCAGCATCGCAGGGCCTGTTGCCCTTGTGGGACTGAGATGGAGAGCCCTACAGAAAGAATGAAAAGCAGCTCATCAATGTCCGCATAAAGGCACAACTGTGCTCAAGCTAGACCTGCTAGAAGCCAGTGATGCGGCCCGTAAGATTCAACCAGAGTTTTCTACTGATTGCAGCTGCAGGCCTTCTCAAGAAGGGGATGAAAACAGCCACGCATATCAGAGGTGTATCAGCATCATAACTTGAAACCTCAAGCTCTTCCTTTCCTTGACAACAAAGTTTGTGGAACTAAATAGTCTTGCAGGGAAATTCTAGTTTTTATTTTTCTCTGAGGGCATGCTGACAATCCTGCTCCGTGAATCAGTTGATGAATCAAGTGATTCATCATGATCCTAAACAGCCAATCATGGGCGGGTCAGCCTGGAATGGGCTGAAGTAGCAGGAGTTCAATCTGCCCTAGTAATACATGTCACTTAGGGCTGGTGTCACCCTCTCTCCACAGATGCCATTTCCTGTTAACTTTGATTGTCTTGGCATACAAGAAAATGTGCCAGATCGGCCCCACACTCGGAAGAAAGCTGTGAGGGAGATAAACACACCTGTAGGTGATAATTGCTGATGACATTCCATAAAGCAGAATGGTGTGTTTGGGTACAAAGTGTATCTCGTCGAAAACCAGCGTTAACCATCATCTCTGAGTTGAATGGAGGTACACACACACACACACACACACACACACACGCACACACAGCTTCCATCTTAGTCCCATCTCCCTGAATTGGTACCATTTAATCAAAAAGGTGCTTTACCTCTCGGACACTCAACATAAAACCCTCACACATCCTGTCCCTCCTCGGACACTCTCTTTCCAAATGTCAGCCAAGTAAAATGCCATGAATTTTAATCCTCGCAAAACCACTGCCTCATCTTTCCTACTGAACAAAAGTCACTGTTAGTTGGGAAAAAAACTCCCAAATGCAATAACAATTAGAGAAGCAATCAATAGTTCTATTAACCAGGAATGCTCCCCACCCCAAATTCCCCAGGAATTCTCAAAATGTGGAAAGAAATTCAGTGAAGGCTAATAAAGGTGATTCAAGAAGGCATTATTGCCACTGAATGGACTTGTGCCCCTAACTGTTCTAGGAAGTACAGATCAATGCTAGGAAGCAGAAGATGCCACAGAATGAACTGCATTCGGTTAATGACTTACAGAAATCTCCATACAAAGCAAACTAAGTGGGATATTTCTAATATCCTCACCACCATGATGACAAAATCAAGGTAAGCTTTTTGTCTACGAATACTGACACCTTAAATACAGAGTGATCATCCCATGTAATACTTTTCCTTATGCATGTTCTTTCCATCAACCTGTGTGTTTCCATGGCTGTGCTCAATGAACTTTTTATCAGCCATGTTTTCACCTAATTAACCCCCCTGATTACAATAATTAGTATTGATTCACTCTTTGAATGACTTCCTTGGTCTTCCAGCACAATCTGCACTTGCTATAAAGTTCTAGATCTGAATATTAATCAAATGCTCTCTTTTATTTTTCAGCCCTAAAAGGAGATTTTTGCAATTGCATACCCTCATATTTTAAAAAAGAAAAACTGGTTTCATTTTAACTAATTGAGGAATATTCAGTCTGTGGTCTGCTGAACACATTTATGTAATATTCCCAAAGCTCGTGGCAGAGGGGCTTAGGGTGCAGTATTTACTTTCTATGGAAAGGAGTCATTTTTCCAGTTAGAATATTTTGCTCTTCATTTTTCTCCATGTCTGGGTTTAGAATGAAATTTCACTTCAACATTTGTTGAAGTCACTACCTTGGGGAATTATGGAAGGATACAGATTACGTATCCCATTCCTGTTGTGGAAATAGATGTAGACAACTTTGCCAGCTTCGGGCAATCTCACACCATCTCCATCAGGTGAAAGGAAAATACATCTGTATGTTGGATGCTAGAATGGGGGCAGTCTCCAAATTCCGGGAGCTGGTAATAGAGCCAACCTCCGGAAAAGCAAACCAAGTGAGAAGACAGTTCCCTCGTTCCTGGACTTAACTGTGACTACCCAGGAATTAAAGTCATTAGACCACAGATAAATCACTGATAATTTAGTCAAAAATTCAACGTGGAGGTTCTAGTGATTTCTTTAAGCAGGCCATGGACAAGTAGCTAGGGAGCACAGAAGGCTACTTTCCTCCCAACCCACAAAAAATGGACTTGCAATCTTTGTTTTGGAATAAAAATTTCCCATGGAAGCAGAATCTGAGTGTGCTAGAAACAGTGTGCCAGCCCCAGATATAAAGCTTCACCAATTACCTTTTATGAGCTCATCTTGAAAGCAGTTATTGGTATACTCGATGGAATGAGCAGTTCCAACCCCATTGCAAGTAAGAGAATACCACAAGCATGCATTTAAAATCCACTCTATTAATAACTAATAACTTCAAAAATATTATTATGCTGTACATATGTTTTGGGTGTACCTACTCTGAAAATATTGTCCATAGAAAAATCTCTACTTCAGAAGGCAATTCTATTTATCTGGTAACATTTATTTTAATAATTCTGTATTAAAATTTTTATGACATTTAAACTTAAGTTGGAAAAATTAAAATTCACATCCAAATTCTAAAAATTAGCTCATGTTTCATAACTGTTTTCATAAGTAATACATCTTGTTCCTTATTTACTGAGAACATCACTAATTTAAACCAAAATATAATCCAACTGGAAATATTTACAACTAAAGTTTTAAAAATACCCTTTAAAACAATTTCTCCTCTGTTTTTTTAAAATTAAGTACTTAAGCTCTCTCTACAAATGTACTAATATATTTTGATATATTGCTGTGGCACAAACGGCTAATTTAGCAACCCACTAGAATGTTAGGTAAGATATATTCTTCACAGAAGTCAACTTTAGTAAAATGATTTTCATGTAAATCATTTATAATTTACTACTCTAGGGCCAATTCTTTTATTTCTTATGTGACAATATAAATAGTTTCATTATTTGAGAAGTTTGAAACAGATTTTTTCTATTTTCTCTGTCTAAAGCCTCGCTAGTCTCACCTTAGAAACCAATGCTTATCTTGTAAAATGAAAGATATTTGAAGATGTGAGAAATGTTTGCCCTGCACAGAAAGGCATTTTATGAGGACATAAGCATAAATCAAAAATCAATATATTCCACAGAGACCTTGAACTTCACAACTTAATAGGCTACATAATAATAGTTTGTGACCAAAATTGTAAGAGCAAAAGTTCTCACTTGTCCTTGAATTTCTAAACTGTTTATCTACATGGATTCCAAAGGGAGAAGCAGAGACTAAAAATTGTAATTTGCGTAAACATCAAAAATATTCCTCTAAACTCTTCATGCTGTGTTTCATAAGTTCATCAAATGAGCAAATTAAAAATCCCCAAGCATTAAATACCATAGAGGCAGGTCTGGTCACAAGGCATTTGCCAGAATGATAATGGTATTACAAGCATTCTCAATCAATAAGTTTTCTTTCAGTAGTTAACAGAGAGGCAAGCAATAAATCTCTAACTTAATCTAACCAACATATCGGCAGAATGCAAAAAGCTCTATGAACAGTAGATACTAAATTTTTTAAAAGCACAAAACCACAAACAAGCAGTTGCAAAAGCTCTTCATTCTGTATAGTCTATACAAACAAGATTATAGGAGATAAAAAGGGTGTTGAAAAAGAAAAAAATAAAGCCCCAGACATGCATTAAGCTAGTTTGACAGCTCCATTGTTCAACGGGTCCCATTGTCAGACCCAAAGATGTATTCAGTGCTACAATGTCTGCTAGCAAATAAACAAAAGACTACAATTTTCAAAGCAGGATGCCAATTCTATCATAATTCTCCCTCTGCTTCCCAAAAGGTCAGTGGTGCCTCCTCCCTGGTATGTGAGAGAACCCCCAACACAGAGGCAGGAAACAAATATTTGCTTTCAATACATGGGGACCCAGGACGCCATGCATGAAAGAGGTCTCCAAACAGGTACACATTTTGGCAAACAGGATAAAGTGATCCAAACCTGGTTACACGGGAGGACTATTTAGGTAGGCTAAGTCCAGATTAGAGCGGTATTTGGAACGCAAGTCTAACATGGAGTCTCCTCAGCTCCTTTTTCGGTGATTATTCCATGCAGAGTGCATAATAATGAAAGAGGCTTAGACATTGCAAAGGAAAAGACAAACCAAGAGCCAGATTTGGAGCCCTTAAAATTATTCACTGGCCACTCACAAATAGCAGTGAGCAAATACATGATATGCTTTCAAAAGGCAACTAGTACAAATAGAACTCACGGCAGTCCTCCGCCTTTCTCTCGCTGGCTCTTTCTCCCAATCTCTTGGTCTCGATTTCATCTCCCCCTCTCTTTAGATTCTTTTCCCCCCCTTCTCTTCTAAGGTAAGGAAGCTACTTGATTCAGAGCATAATTATTGTCTCAGCAAGCTCTAGAAACTAGAAAAGCATGCATTAAAAACAAAGGACACAACAACATACCTTAAAAGCAGCTCTTCATTTCTCATAGTAACAGCGGATTTGGGACAGCGCATGCTTCTATACTGATAGTCTCAACAAAAGCCAGTTCAGAAGTACGCTCAAACATCAATGCCACAGTGGCTGCTCACTAACGCGCCCTCTCTTTCTCTCTCCCTCTCTCTCTCTCTCCCCCCCCCCTTCCCACTCTCGGCCCTAGTCAAATGCTGAATAGTAGAGCAAAGGGGCTCCTGCAGATTCACTAAGTAGAAATAATCCTCTCTGACAAGTTATGTTGTCTATGCATATTTTTACACTAATACACTGTGCTGCCTATAGGGGTCTTGTCTGCATTCACTCAAGCCTGGCTAGTGTTAGTTCTCCTAATTACCATCTTTAAAAATTGGGGAGTGGGGGAGGAAACAACCTAAGAACTCATTTACCTTTTTCTTATAGATTTAATACCAAAACCAATTTCCCAGTTGCCTTTTGCTATTAAAACTACAAGCGAGCATTGCAGATGACTTAACCACAAATTGGGATGGGTCAGTGTACTAAAAAGGATTTTTGCCTCTCTTTTCTGGGACACTGCATTCACAGTTGGATTCATCTGCTCCTCTTGTCTTGTCCTCAGGAAAAGTGACAAGGTCAAGACCCTTAGTCCCACCCTGGGTCATAGATGCATAGGATCGAGATCGAGGACTTGGAAATGTTTTAACTCGGCACACCAGAGTTCTCATAAATCAGAGTGTCATTCACCTGGAGGAGGGTATCTAATGGAAGCAGGCAATGCAAAGATTGTAGGGTGGCACTGGAGTCCTCATCAACACGGGAGCATCATTTGCAAAAGACCAATGAGTTGCTCTTTTCTAAAATAAGAAAAATCTGCTTCCCTACCAGGCTTTGCATGTACAGTTAACCGGGGAAATATGCATTGTACTTCTGTTTATTGGAATTAGAAAAATTCCATGCAGACTAGCCAAGTAAAATAGCAAGTTAAACACACACACACAGAGGAAAGAAGAGATGCTAAGGACTGAGCAATCCGTCATCAAAAGTGCAAGTGAAGGCACCATTCCAGGAGGTGTGTGCTGACCTGAAGCCAAGAATGTGCTCAGCTTGAATGGAACAACACAGAACAGCCTCAAACAGACCTGGGTCACTGAATCCTGGTCCCGCTCCCATTCTGCATCAGTACCACCATGCACTTCAGTATAATCCTGACTCAAAGCATTAATGGAGATAATAATAGAGGGGGAAAGTAATGTTGGACTCTGTTCCCCACCTATTTGAAGATCTGGAACACACTCCAATTTCTTGCTAGGTCTCTGACCTCTGAACTTGGTCTTGATCCACAGCTAGGAAAATGAACATGTTCTCTGGGCAGGGGGAGATGAAGGTTTTTAAATCTCCGCTGCACGGCAATCTTGCATGGTGAATCAGTTGGACTATGGCAAATAAGCGAAGGATAGCAGTCACCATCCCATTCCTATTTCTAGAGGGCAACAAGAAGGCGTGATGAGTCACTTGACAAAAATCAGATCATGAAATGAGAGCCTTGTCCCTAAAACAACCCCATTTTTTTTTTTACATATTCTTGCTTCATTCTAACATATGAAAGTTACAGTGAATATATAAAAATGAACAACCTTGCCAGCAAATGATATCATATAAAATCTAAGATGTTCTTTTGAAGTAAGAAAAGCATCATGTAAATGAGCTTGGAACCAGCAAGATCTTAGGGAGAAAGAGTTTGAGCCCATTTGCCTTGTGACTTTAGCTTGGTGCTGGAGCAGAAGTCTCTTATGGCAGGCGGATCATGAGGTCAGGAGTTCAAGACCAGCCTGGCCAACATGGTGAAACCCTGTGTCTACTAAAAATACAAAAATTAGCTGGGGCTGGTGGTAGGTGCCTGTAATCCCAGCTACTTGGGAGGCTGAGGCAGGAGAAATTGATTGAGCCTGGGAGTTACAGGCTGCAGTGAGCCATGATCATGCCACTGTAGTCCAGCCTTGGTGACAGAGAGAGACCTAAAAAAAAAAAAAAAAATCAAACAACAAAACTTCTCTGTGGCTCTCTTTGCTCCAGCAAAATGGGTGCAACAAATGCCAATTTATTTTAAAGCATCTGAAGAACTCGTAGTGAAACCGAGTGTGTTCGGTCATTGCAAATATTAATAAAAGTGGGACAATTGGATGGACACCAGTCACAGGTTTTGTCCATTACAGAAAAGTAAAAATACACTGCTCAGACACAAAGCCCTTTTCTGCATATTTCCATATGGTTTCTAATGGGGGCTAGCCTATGAGGCAAGTACTAACATAGCACAATAATGCAGTTGCTTATCCAGAGGTAAATTCTTAGCATTGGAAGCCCATGTTGTAGTACATGGGGCTGTTCCTACAGTGAAATGAATTGTGGATCTATGGTAGTAAGGACTGGAACTGAACCAAACCATTAAATATTTTATACTCTCCCCACTTCCTTTTTGGCCTATGGATATAAATAATGAGAACACTATTGAGGTAAGAGTTTAGTACCTGTCTAAATGCCACTAAGATGACAGATTGGGGGCTTAACATCTACCATGTGCTAAACCTGGGTTATAAAGATGAGTGAACAGGAATGTGGTTTAGAACATGTACATAATGTTTAGTAAGTTTTTGGCCCTCCCAACTCCACATTGAATTAATCTTTGTACTTCTTAATACACCCAACAGAATATTTTTTATCTTATCTGTAATTAATACATATTTGTTAAATAAAGGAATGAAATTATTTTTAACCACTGGAAATGTGAGGAGGTGACTATTTCATTTTCAAAAAAATTTTAAATGCCATTTCTTTAACAAATAGGTGAAAAAAAATAACCTCGACATTTCTAATTCTAATTCAGGCACTGGTTGGCGTAGATGACTACACTGAGATATTCCTTTCATGCTATTGTGTTTTACATTTCAAGACCTTTTCACATTTAGCGATTCATTTAATCCCCAGAACAACTTAGTGGGCAGGCAGAGCTGGTTCCTTAACCTACTCAGCTGCAGAAGTTCAAGTGCAGGAAGTGGCTGGAGTGACTTACCCAGAGAAGATGCATTAATGACAGAGCATCGTGCTCATTCTACCGACTGCTGGGCCTGCCCCTTTCAAGGGCAGCACTTGCAACCTGATGCTCCCGCTGTGCACAGAGGTCCATATGCACACCCCAGCAAGGCATGGTTTTTAAGGAATGCTTAGTGTAATGAATCTTACACTCTCCTCAAGTGATAGTAATAACTTTAGAGGATAGTCATATGGTTTGTGGTTTATGGTCTGTGTCTCCACCCAAATCTCATCTTGAATTGTAGCTCCCAAAATTCCCACATGTTGTGGGAAGGATCTAGTGGGAGATAACTTAATCACAGGGGTGGTTTCCCCTATATGGTTCTCATGGTAGTGAATACGTCTTATGAGATCTGATGGTTTTATAAGGAATTTCCTTTTTCACTTGGCTCTCATTTTCTCTCTTGCCTGCAGCCATGTAAGATGTGACTTTCACCTTCTGCCATGATTATGAGGCCTGTTCAGCCACGTGGAAGTATGAGTCCATTAAACCTCTTTTTCTTTATAAATTACCCAGCCTCAGGTATGTCTTTATCAGCAGTGTGAAAACAGACTAATACAGAGAGATAATAAATTAATGAAAAATTGCTTAAGAGGTTCTGTCTTGGCCACTAGCATCAAAGCAATTCCTTTCAAACTTTATTCCACATGAAGGTTGAGTTGAACCTAGACAAACTAACAACTTTTGGGGGTAAATTATTAATATTTTTTGAGATCATCTACAGTAGGAGCCATTTTTTAACAATCCTGATTATTACTATATTTGGCTGATAGGGAAAATTTTTTCAAGAAGATTAGCAGTAATTAACAAAGAACAACAATAAGAAAATAGTAGATTGTTCTGATGCCCTCTATATCCAAAAAGATGTTTTGCTATATAAATTACATTTTTAGCTAATAATGCAAACTTGATGAAGAAAAAAACTAGAAAAATGCTGCAATATGAGAATATTGGTAGTGAGCTAAGAATCAGCCAGCTTCTTGGCCTTTCCAGATTTGAACTTCCTAAAAAATTTTAAAAGGTGAAATTATGGATGCATTTTTTTCTGTTACAGGTAATTTCCAGAAGAAAGAGCTAAATTTCCAAATACAACTTAATGACTCTTCTATTTTTCTGCTTTCTGTGCCTCATCTTTGCCTTTTGGCATTTACATTGCAGAAGTAATGAAAAGTATCATTTCAATGGAAGTGTTAATATGAAATATGCTAGAGCCTGGCACAATGGATTCCATCTTTGATAAGAATGGGACAGTACACAACTCTAGCCTGCCTCTCAAATCCTAAAAGAATAACCCAGAAAGGTGGAAGCACCAAGGACATTAATTCTATTTAGCTGCTAGTTTCCGATACCAAGAACTGCCAAGTTTAATTAGATGTTTCTTAACATCTCATATTGCTATGGAAGATGAAAAGAATACATGGAAAATTTGTTAAGTAAATATGAAGCAAAGATCAAGGTCTAAAAGAAATGGATTTTCAGCTGGGTGCAGTGGCTCATGTCTGTAATCCCAGCACTTTGGGAGGCCAAGGCGGGCAGATCATGAGGTCAGGAGATCGAGACAATTCTGGCTAACACAGTGAAACCCTGTCTCTACTAAAAATACAAAAAATTAGCCGAGTGTGGTGGCATGTGCCTGTAGTCCCAGCTACTCAGGAGGCTGAGGCAGGAGAATCGCTTGGACCCAGGAGGCGGTGGTTGCAGTGAGCTGAGATTGTGCCACTACACTCCAGCCTAGGTGACAGAGTGAGACTCCATCTCAAAAAAAAAAAAGAAAGAAAGAAATGGATTTTCAGTGTACTAAGTGTGTGGTACATAGTAGAAGCTCAGTGAAGTTAATAAATATACATGTGAACGGATGTTCTTCTATTCTGCTGATATCACACTGAAGACACAAAGCTCCTCTGACCCCAATTTATCAACTTCAGAGGAAGGGTCTTTCTCTATGGGTGCAATGGAGGCAAAGCAGTGATGTCTGCAAATAGCAGAGGAGCCCGGGGCAACACTGGGGACAGGAGCCAGAAACTAAGAGAATATGGCACCATCCTTCCTCCAGACCCCAGTTCCCTGTCTTGCATTTCGGGGGAAAAAAATTCCAAAGCATAAAAGACCCAAGTATCACAATTCACTACCTGAAACATAAAACTGAAATTTGATTTAAAAGTAAGACCCCAGGAACATTGCTAAAGAAAGGGTTTGATAGTATCTGGGGAACTTAGTCACACGAGTTGTTGTCACTCAAGTGACAACTAAAAAATGACGTTTCAGTCACACTCTGGAAGCTGGAGGTGGCCATCCCTATGACAAACCCAAGAGCCCTAAATTCCAAAAGGAAATTCCTTCCACAAAGACTATTCACTCCTTTTCAAAATGGAGCTGTTCACCAGGATGAGCAGGGCACAGGAATGAATAATGAGCAAGATTAATTGTAAAGCCCCTTATCCTGATAAAGTGTCATATTTGTCAATAAGTATGTATAAATAATAAACCATAAAGTACTTGGAACTCTAAGAAGCCACTTGAAGATAGGTACTAGATAAAGTTAAGAGGTATTGTTCTAAAGAGTAATCCTGACTCTCTGCTGTAAATGAAAGCAGACACCAAGAAGTGGCTTCGGAGGACTACGTCTGCGTAGGTAGAGAAAGGACTGTTGAAGACAAGAAGAAAGGAAAGGATTTCCCAGTAAAATAGACT